TATGTCCATAATCTATTATCCATTTTGTTTGTTAACTCTTGTGTTGGTGTCTAATAGAGTGGGTTTCGAACTCCAAAAGCTCAGAAATGGTGGGAAAGGGGGTTAGAAGCTAATATGAAAGAGGTGAGCAGTGCAGAGGAGCTTGTGGATTCTCTTTTAAATGCCGGGGACAAGCTTGTTATTGTGGATTTCTTCTCCCCTGGTTGTGGTGGCTGCAAAGCTCTTCACCCAAAGGTCTCCTTTATGCTTTATTGTGTAGAAAGAACAATGTGTATGTTCCAAGTTTTACGAGTCTTGAAAAGGTTCGTATATCTATCCTCTGCAGATATGCCAATTTGCTGAGATGAATCCAGAAATCCAATTTTTGCAAGTGAACTATGAAGAGCACAAATCTATGTGTTATAGTCTTGGTGTGCATGTGCTGCCCTTCTTTCGCTTCTACAGAGGTGCTCAGGGTCGTGTTTGCAGCTTTAGCTGTACTAATGCAACGGTAACAAATCTTTAAATACATTGGAACTGTTCTGCTTTTGTAATGTTATCCTATCATTATCATTCATAATATTGATTGTGGCTGTACATTCTTTTATAGAAGCATGCTCTTCCTTTATTTCCATTTTAATTGTTGTTTAATCACATTTGAAGTGTTTTTGTGAGATTCCACATCGGTTGGAGTAGAAAACGAAACATTCTTTATAAGGGTGTGGAAACCTCTCCCTACCAGATACATTTTAAAGCCGTGAGGCTGACGGCGACACGTAACGGGCTAAAGCGGACAATATCTATTAGCGGTGGGTTTAGGTTGTTACAAATGGTATTAGAGCCAGACACTGGATGGTGTGCCAGCGAGAACGGTGGGCCCCAAAGGGGGGTGGATTGTGAGATCTCACATCGGTTGGAAACGAAAACGAAACATTCTTTATAAGGATGTGGAAACCTCTCCCTAACATATGCACTTTAAAACCGTGAGGCTAACAAGCCAAAGCGGATAATATTTAATGGGTTTAGGCTGTTATTGTTTTAGTCGAAGTAGATCTGTTTGTGCTTCAAGTATCAAATCTCCTATTGTGGATTATTTCCCAAGAGATGTCCATTTAACCAGTCCCAGTCCCGTAGAGAATCTCCGCTTAAACAGAGAATGGGGGAGGGAGGGAGAGATATTTCTCCCTATTAATTAAATGGAGCCGTATGTTTCCCATCCCTGACGAGAATTTTGCAAGGATGGAGATGGAAATAGTACAGACATCCCTACGTCTCTTCTACATCTGCCTCATGAGTATCAAATGTGTGGTTTGTCTCTACTAGTTTACGTGTTATTGTAGATGGTAGAGTGATAAAGAATTGGTTTGGTATGACAGATAAAGAAATTCAAGGATGCATTAGCCAAGCACAACACGGACCGATGCAGCCTCGGCCCGACCCGAGGGTTGGAGGAGAAAGAACTCGTGGCACTTGCCGCTAACAGAGAGCTCTGTTTCAACTACACCCCAAAGGCAGCAGAAGAGGTGCCCATCCCCATCACCATCCATCCCCGTGCCCATGCTGGAAGTGTAAAAATATCAGAATCAGAGCCATCGCGTCTTCCTCTACCCTCAACCATCCTGAAGTCTGCTGCTCAAACCTCCAAGGGCAATGCCTATGTGGGATGAAGCATCCTATCCTATCCTTAATACCTGTGCTCTTCTTGCCTGTAAAGATAATAGATGCACCAAATTTGTAGGGTTTTCTTTTTTGACTTGGATCCCTACCTCTGCTGGTTCCTTCCCAATATCAGCAACCAGCTGTGTGATTAATATTTATACATATATAGTGTTACCCGTTGTCTCTACACGGTTGTATAAACCTTCTCTGTAAAGTTATGAATACAGAACTTGTGAAAGATTGTAATTACTCAAATAATCAAGAAACTTATGAGTACCATTCATATGATTCAGTGATATCAACTTCTTTAACCACCATCATATAATGCAAATTGGAGTGGAATGCTTTTAAATTCATGCATGCATTCCAATCTTTGATTCAAGCCCATTTCCATAATCAAACCAACCAAAAATGTTACTCAATCTCATCCATTTTGTTTGGATTGGATTGGTTATAGAAAAGGAAAATTTTGGTTTACATTTCAAAGGGTTTATAAATGAAAAGAAAAATGTCTTTTTCAAGAATATGTTTGATTTCTCTTTCGGTAGAAAGCAAAAGTTGAAGAGAAGTGCTCGTACTAATTTAACGGTACAAGTTTTCGACAAATTAACGTAACATTAATTTGAATACCTTTATTAGTTGGATAACGTATACTCATGGTCATACAAAAAAATCGTTAGTTATAATCGTAATTGTTACAAAATTTAGTTTCATTATTTTATAATATAGTTTTAAATATGTATAGAATGATAGAGCTCGACTTTTGTGAGACATTTTTAATAATATATGGTTGGAATTTTTGAAATAAATGTAAATTCAAATTATGGTTACATTAGCATTTATTTTCCACAGAAATATATTCTGATGGTGATCGGTTTGGGTGCCAACTAATATATGAAAATGGTATGCGAATATATGCCTGAAAATGACATGTTGACTGGGTTGGGAGTTACAGAAAAATAAAACTATATAATATAATTATAATTTGAAGATAGGGTAAATTAATTGTTAATTAATTAATTAGTATAAATAAAAAAGCAAAGGAAAAGAAAGGTGGGAAAGAACCCATTTTTTGTGGCATTAACGAGAGAAGAATATATAAGTTCTTGACTTGCAGAATCTGACCCTATAAAAACATATTTCTTATGATCATCTCTGGTTCTCATTCTCACCGAATATAATACCATTTTCACAACACTTTTCCACAACGAATACCATTCCGTGGTCATTTCTCGCTTTCTTTCTCGACGACGTTGCCCTCATCCATGCCCTATGCCTATGTTACGATACCCCCGTGTCGGTCATGCATGCATATTATCGAATAAGATATATATAACAGTGATGCAATGACATGTATATGATGAAATGAATTGATTTGAAATACAGGCTCAAACTCTATCATAAATGACTCAACCATAATGAAAACGATCATGATATGTATCAAACCAACAATGGGTTAGGGTTAGGGTTAGAGATGATTTGGGGGTCGAACTTGATCGTAAATGATTCAATCAGGGTGAAAAGGATCCTGATATGAATTAAACCGAGTTCGGGTTAGGGTCAGATAATTTGGAATATGGAAATTGATTTTGTTGGGAAGAAAGAAGTGAAAAGTTAAAGAAGGAAGTCATAAAAAGGGCACCAAATCCCTTAACCTTTTTTTTGTGTATATATTCCCTATCCACATGCCACCACCACCTTACTGTTTAGGAATTCCCTGCTTTTCAACTCTAAAGCCAAAAATTCTTAGGTTCCTCTATATATACATACATATATATAAATATAAATGTATATGAACATAATTAATATATCTCTCTTATAATTAGGCATTAGCTTAGTTTTGGGGATAGATGGGCATATTTAGCCAGAAACGTTGCGTTTAATTCCCGAGGGATCAGAATCTTTTTTTTTTTTTTTTTTTTTTTTTAATTTTTTTTTTTTTT